TTTCATCATTTCCCTTATTTGAGTACATACAAATTCGATGTCTGGTCGGATTGCAGGGCTCTGATTCCAACAGTCTCTTACGAGACTCAGCTTAACACGAGACTTTACGAGCTTGCGGATATTTTTGAGAAAGAGTCAAAGTTACTTCAGTAATTGTTCACAAATATGTTTATGTGCCTAGTCGGATTACCCTATTAATTATTTCACCATTATTCGATTAGAGATTTGCAACGAAGGTTGTTATAAAAGAATCGGATCGTTGATGAGGTTTGCTAGAATACGGCGTCTTACACATTGCCACCTGAAGCCCAAAAAGGCTCATTGACGTCCCTGTGTGGACAGTGCTTTGAGGAGCATCAGAAACTTCGAAATTGGATCCGACTTTGTGATATTTCGTGCAAACGCCGTAGAGTCCTTCTTAGTGGACCCGCGGCATCGATTTGTTAGAATCGAGTTTCCTCCTACTAACCCCGCCCCCTTTCCCTTCTCCTTTTCTTAGAGGATTCAGGCTGAAGTGTAGGGGACGCGAGTTCGCATTTTCATCCAAAATTTATCAACGCCACGAGTCGTTCTTCAATGGATGTTATGCTAAGGCCAGGTGGCTTTCAGTAGGAGGAAATTCAGCGGCATCCGTGTGACTTCTTTTTGATTCCCTGGTTAGTGCTCTCAACTTTGCGGCGACTACATTTAGCACGAAGAGGACTTCACGGATGTAATAAATTTGGGAAGGCTTACCAAAGTATTACTGACATCTACACCATCCAATGCTAGTTCCGGACGCATTGGCTCAAGACCACCCTTCTTGATACGATATATCAGTTCTGGAATGATCGCTGTATTTTCCAAACCAATACCGTAATGGCAGCTCGAAGCTAGTTACCATCGACATTTTCAGCTCTCTCTGCGATATTCCATGCAGGTTTGCGAGTAATCACTTCAGAGCATATGATGGCAAACGCGTAGATGTCGCCCGGCTTAGATTCTCCCACAGGCGATTCAGCTAAGTGCTCTGGAGCTACCCATAATGACACTGGAATGAACAGGTACAAAGCGTCAACGAAAAAAGGCATTTCAGTATAACCGCGACTTCATGGATGTCTCTAGGAAGCTCTAGATACAATGGGAATAAAGGGGATTACTCAAATTTTGAGAAGAGTTCTGTGGCTTTGTCTCTACTCGGTTCTGTCCACTTATCACTACTGTTACGTACTTTGTTTGTGGAATGAAAAATTAGTACCAGTACCTATCTTCGTGCCACGCCGCTTCTTCCCCTTCCCCCTTCTCTCTCGACTGCAGTACTGCAAATGTTTAATTACAGGTCGTCCCGAAAGTTGATCTGGGCATTTTCTTTCAATAATCCCCTTTTACTCTGTAAACGATGGAGGGGTGGAGTATCGTAGTTTTGCACTTATGACCATTGACTGGCTACGGTTTCATTTTAGTCGCTGGCATTCACTCACTCTTCTGTGCTTGACGATCAACACACTGTGGTATTCCATAAGAGGAAATTTTGACTTGCCAACCATCATTGACAAGGCATGTGCTGGAACTCAGTGTGCCAACTGCTCCAACGAATGAGCGATGTAGATAGAAAAGCCCCTATTCACATTAGAGCTAGACAATATTCTTCGCGAAGTATTGAACTAAGCCGGAATGTTTTTAGGACTTACCTCGGAGATGTCTCGAATGATACAGACGATGAAGAAGGAGTCAACAGTGAACGTGCCTTTGGCGATTATCGACTGAACAAAAGGTAATGAATACTACTGTAACATATATGTAGTAGCACTGCTTCAAATTCGGAAACCATCAACATTTGCTCACGAGCCATTGCCCTTTGTGAAGCTACGTCCAGTGTTTATGCTTCTTCCTTTCAAACAAATTTCATCCAGTTATAAGGACAGTAGCACTTCCACTGGGGGACGAATGGTCTTCATTTATGTTGCAAGGGTATGAGGTCGTTCAGAAAGTATCACTTGTATCACCTGTCGTCCCGTTGAGCATTTAGGGCAAAACATTCTTTTCGTTCAGAGCTTTCGTGAGGAAGTCTGACCATCGGGCCCGCGGTCGTCCTGATGTTCGTTTGACGTCCCGAAAGACCAAGTCCGTAACCGCTCTGGTCCAACAGCCATTACGATATCGCACTGCGTGTGCGGCTCATCTTATCTTCGATGTGTTGGGGTAAGCATCAACATCCCTGATTTTCGTTCATTGACGGAGCTCGGAACTCCGGATTCCCTTCTTCACTTGCGTGTAAGGGTGAATTCCGAGCATCGTCCTTTCCACAGCGCGTTGAAGGCTGGCTACATGCTCACTCTGCTTTCGTAGAGCCCGAGTCCCTGAGGCGTATGTCAAAGCAGGAAGGACCGCGATGTCGAAAATGTGGGCGCGGATCCGTACGCTTTTCGTTTTCTTCTCTGCTCTTTGATGCTCTTAATTGCTTGGTCGTTCATCATATTGACTCTTCGGCCTAGATACACGTAGCTAAGGCTTCAGAGATGTTCGTTCCGTCCAGAGGAGCAGTAAGGAGCATCAGGTAAAAAGTCCACCACAGATCCGGCAGTATGCTGCCGACGATTCAATCATGTTTTTGCTATTCTATAAATCGTCAGGCAGCATAAGTTTGTTATTCCACACTTGACTGTGT